GGTTTCAACCATGGGAAGCAGAAGATGTCTCTACCTGCAGTCCAAAGATGTTTGGTTTTAGGAGACAGAGAAAGAAAGGAAGAGAAACTGTTTTTTGTACAATTCCATAAAAGTAGTTTGCAAGCATGCTCTTCCTACTGGAACAGGTGCGGAGCCCCCGGTCTGAGCTGCTCAGCCATCACAACCTTTGGATGCCCAGGAATTCGGCTGTCACTTGGATGCTTTGCCAGTCTCTGTAAATGCTACGGTGGGGGCGGCAGCCTGTGACAAGGCTTGCTGGAGGCTCTCAGCTTGTCCCAAAGTGCTTCTGAGGTCATCAGCCTTCTTCCAATAAGCCACATCTGCCCCTTCCTTACAGCTTTCCATTACAGCAGCTGGCCCCAGAGAATCCCAGAGGCATCCACGCTGGGGAGGCAGAGGGAGAGCTCTCTGGGTGTGAAACATAACACCCAAAGCTGTTTTGTCCTTGTACAGGCGCGGGTGCTGGTGTTTTGATCCCACTTTCACAGTTCAGTATTCACTTTCTCAATTCCTGCTTTGTTTCCAGGCAATAGGCTTCAGATTCCCAGAAAAATCTGGTAGGTGAAGTGGAGAAACCAGAAGCAAACTATGATGGCAACCCCAAAATAACTCAATAAATTGTTAGGAGTTCTTGCATATCAGGTTTGAAGAAACGTTTAAACAGCTGCTTCTATCTGATACCTCCAAGGGAAGGAGGCTCAGCTATTCCACAGAATTTTGAAATATGAACAAACTTTGAGAGGGTCTCTTCCCATTGTCTTTTTTTTTTTTTTTAAGATTTTATTCATGAGAGAGGGGCAGAGACATAGGCAGAGAAAGAAGCAGACTCCTTGCAGGGAGCCCCATGCAAGACTGGATTCCAAGACCCTGGGATCACACCCTGAGCCAAAGGCAGATGCTCAACCATGCTCAAGGCACCCAGGTGCCTCCCCATTGTCTTATTCTTAGAGGTTTGAGTCTCTAGTGGGCTTCTCTTGTCCTTCTGTGTTCAGTGGCCCCATTTCATTTGGGGGCCTTCCCTGCCATCATGCCATCTGGTCCTGATGGGGCTGTCATCACTCTGTCCTCTTCTCCCCCTTGCACAGGGGCGGGGCTGTGACGCAGGCTGGGCCTTCCTTCATTGATTGATGAGCCAGGGCTGCGAGCAATCTTCTCATTTGGAAAGAACCAGACTGCACAGTAAAGCCAAGCAGAGCCAAGCATCAGAGCCCTGATGACATTATCTGTTCTTCTGGACTCAGGCGTGTTTTCCTATTTGCATATGAATGGTAACCCAGAATAAACACAGTTCTGCACTTTGCTTTTTTTTCCCCCTTTTTAGTTAAACAACATGTCCTTGAGATTACTCTATGTCAGTGTATGAAGAGCACCCTCATTTATTCTTAGAATTACACAGTAGTTCATTGTGTGGATGTATCAATCACTGATTCAATCCCTTTTCTATTGATGGACATCTGGGGGTTATTTCCAGTCTTTCAATATTTCAAATAAACAACACTTCATATTTTTCCAGTGCCTATTTTAGTCTTAGAAGTGGGATTACTGGATTCCTGAATCAGTGTAATTTTTGTTAAGACATGAACCATTTTTTAAAAGATTTATTTATTTGAGAGAGAACAAGTAGGGGAAGAGGCAGAGGAGAAGCGGACTCCCCAGTGAGCGGGGAGCACGATGTGGGGTTTGATCCCAGGACCCTGAGATCATGACCCGAAAGGAAGGCAGATGCTTAACCAACTGAGCCACCCAGGTGCGTCTATGGACCAATTATTCTCCACAGGGATTATTTTGCATGCTCACTAGTAATGTGGGAAAATTTGGTGTCTCTACAATCTGGTCAAGGGAGTGTGTAGTCAAACCTTTGGCTTTTTCCTCTCCAGCATTTTATTTATTTTTTAAATTTTATTCATTTATTCATGAGAGACAGAGAGGCAGAGGGAGAAGCAGGTTCCCTGCAGGGAGCCCGATGTGGGACTCAATCCCAGGACCCCAGGATCGCGACCTGAGCCAAAGGTAGAAGCTCAACCGCTGAGCCACCCAGGCGCCTCCTCTCTCCAGAATTTTAATCCTGTTCTCTCAAGTCTTGCCCTCTTTAGAAAGGCAAGGCAGCTTCTCACCAACATCAACTTGATAAGACTATGGAACATTCACTGAGTTCTGTTCCAGAGATGCTGGCAAAGCAAACCCAGAGTGGCTTATCTGTGTTTTGGAGCAGATCGTGACCTAACTGTGATACTGGAGAGTAGCCTAGGACACTGGATAGAGATAGGAGTAGAGGCCGGGAAAGTGGTGGCAGTGAGCACCACGGGGTTACACTGGGAGGTGAAATTTGGGAAAAAATGTAGAGAAAACATAAGATGTTTGCTCCCTGCTAATAGCTGTGCGAGTTGGTTTGGTTTATCTCCAGTGCTAACTCATCGAGTGTAAAACCACTGGTAATTTAAGAATATTTCCAGTATGTGAAATTGTCTTTCTCTTTTCCAGTCTTTTGGGAACTAGATCTTTTGGGAAATAATCCCAATGTCCCTCGTCCACTTCACCATTCCTCCAGCACACAGCAGAAGGCTGTATCAACATTGTTAGGAAAATCTTTGGCACTGTGGGTTGAGTTCAAGGAGTTTGCCTCAATTTTCCTGTTTCTAATAAAATATTAAATGCAAAGAATGTCATTTTAGAAGCATACTTTTAAAATTTTATTAGTGGGGTAAAGGAGTTCTAAAATGAAACGTAACATTTCACCTTTTAAATTAAGTAGTTTTCAGGTCACTCAGGTTTTTTTATTTTAAACAATCAATGAACTTGTTAAAATTGTTCATTAAAGCAGCTGTTTCAGACCTTCTACCACTGAGTTGAAGGACATAATTTATTTTGCTTCTGGCAAATGAAAATGCTAATGTAAGGAGGAAAAAAATTATTCCTCTTTCTACCAAGAAAAAAAAAATAGATCAAATAATTGAGCATTTGTGCCACCCAGAAAAGTTTAGACTGAAATTTATCACCACACTTTTTGTGGTTGGCTGAATAACTGCATCCAAAAATATCTATGTCTTAATCTCTAGAATCTGTGAATGCTACCTTATTTGGCAAGAGACTTTGCAGGTGTGATTAAATTAAGGCTTTTAAGGTGAAGGGATTTTCCTGGGTTATTTGGGTGAGCCTTAAATGTAATCCTAAGTGTCCTTTTAAGAGGGAGGCAGAAGGAGGCTTGACTATAGGTAGAAGAGTAGAAGGAGGCAGGATGATTTCAACAAAGAGGTTTGAAAATGGGGTGGGGTGGGGCAACCCTGAGCAGAGGAAGTGAGAAGATTCTCCCCTCGAGCCATGGGAACCTTGGTTTCGGCCCAGTGCTACTAATTTCAGCCTTGTGGCCTTCAAAACTATAAAAGAACAGATTTCTGTTGTTTTAAAACACCAAGTGTATGTGGTACTTTTTAAAGATTTTTTTTTATTTATTCATGACACACACACACACACACACGCACACACAGAGGCAGGGACACAGGCAGAGGGAGAAGCAGGCTCCATGCAGGGAGCCCGACGTGGGACTCAGTCCTGGGTCTCCAGGATCACGCCCTGGGCCGAAGGCAGATGTTCAACTGCCGAGCCAGCCGGGCTTGCCCCTATGTGGTACTTTGTTACAGGGGCCATAGGCAATCAATACACTTCCCAGTTTCTAGGAAATAAGAACTTGGGTCTCTGATTTTAAAATTGACCAAATCAGTGGGCATGAATAAGACTGTAAAGGCATTATTTAAAAGAACAGATTTCCCTCTTTTAGGCAGAAACACGTAACTATGTTAAATTTTTTTAAGTGCTTCACTTGTAAATAAGGTCAGCGGAGCTTCCTCACCTGGCAGGATGGTTGTCCAGCTGTTCAGAAGGTTCTCCCTCCTATAAACTATCTTGACTATTGTGTTCTTATTTTTAGTTTTTTTAGAGAGCAGGGAGGGGCAGAGGGAGAGACAGAATCCTAAGTAGGCTCCATGCCCAGCACAGAGCCAGACTCGGGGCTCCATCTCACAACACTGAGATCATGACGTGAGCTGAAATCAAGAGTCAAACACTTAACCCACTATACCATTCTGGCGCCTCCTATCTTGACTTTTTAAGTGCATTGTTAGGCTGGCAGTTATAACATAAATTAATCCCCAAGGGTTCCATATATTAGCTTAGGCTTCAATAAAGATGTGTAGCAAAAATCTCAAAACCTCAGTGGCTATAATATTTACAATATTTATCTCTGATTCATACTGTATGTTGGCAGCTAACTTGAGTGACCCTGCCCTAGGATGCAGGTCAGTTTTATTTTTATTTTTTATTTTTTTTATGCAGGTCAGTTTTAGGTCTGTTTCTTGAGTGTCATGATGAGACTGCGGCTTAGGAGCAACCCTCAGCTGAGTTATGTTCTCAGTGGTGCAGGGTGGGAGCACAAAAGAACTGGCAAAACTTGCAAAGCCTCTTATCTGTTTTGAACTGGCTTTTAGATATTAGCAAAGCATAAAAATTATGACTTGTTTAATGAAAGTTTGGGACACAAACTATCAAATGATGAGGCTAATTAGAAAAAGAATTAGAACTTTTAGATATGAACAACAATTATTGAATAAAAACCTCAATTGATGGGCTATATGGAAAAAAAATAAACTCAACTAAGTAGTTATTTAACAAAGCAGAAGAAAGATCTGAATAAATCCCTCAGAAAGCAGCACAGACAGGGAGGTGGGATAAGTTAAAGAGGGTAAGAGACCCTGACAATAGAATGAGAAAGTCTACATGTGATCATTTGGAATTCCAGGGGGACAAAGAGAGAGCATGGAGAAAGAGCAGCAGTATTTGAAGAGATAAAAGCTAAGCATTTTGCAGAAATAATAAAAAAAACTTTATAATAAGGTGCAAAATATATTAGGCAGGATAAATAAGAAAGCCATGTATAAAAAATTTTTTTTAAAATTATGTTTGTTTATTCATGAGAGACACACACAGAGGCAGAGACACAGGCAGAGGGAGAAGCAGGCTCCATGAAGGGAGCCCAACGCGGGACTCGATCCCAGGACTCCAGGATCACGCCCAGGGCTGAAGGCAGCTGCTCAACCGCTGAGCCACCCAGGCGTCTCTGTAAAAACAAATTATGCAAAGTTCAGAACACCAAGAATGGAAAGCAGCTAAATAAGACAAATGATCTGCAAAGGAAAAATAATTAAACTAAGAGCTGCCTATTCATCACTAGCAATGGAAGCCAGAAATCAGAGGAATAGTATCTTCAAAGTGCAGAGAATGAGACCATCATTTTTTACTTCGGAAAAGACTATTTTTTCTTTTTTCTTTTTTTCTCTATTGAGTTTTTCTTAAGGGTTTTTCTGTCCCCCGGTCACCACAGAAATTATTCACAATCTTAAGACTTTAGAGTGGTGGGTTGATAAAATGGGTGACGCTAGTCACACGGAGAACATAGATTTACATCTTTCTACATCCCATAACCACTTTGAGTCTGCTTCTAATGTATAATTTTCACCATCTTCCATGGATGGGGACATTTCAGATAAAGTTTATCACCAATGAACCTTTACTAAAAAAGTTTAAAAGTATGTTCCTCAGGAGAAAGGAAAATGATCTCAGATGAATGTCTAAGAAGCAACAAGGAATCCCTAGAAACGAAACCACAAAACACATTGCTAAACCTGAAAAAAAAAGTATAATATTAAAATACCTAATTTGGTGGTTTTAAAAAAAATGACAGAATGAAACCGGATAGTAATAGCATGGAAAGAGTCAATGAATAGTGTTTTAAGCTTCATTGTTCAGATGGGGGATTAAGATACCAACTTTCGATTTGTTAAATTAGGCACACATATTAAATGTTAAAAGTAAACAGTAGGGACATCTGGGTGGCTCAGCGGTTGAGCGTCTGCCTTCAGCCCAGGGTCTGACCGTGGAGACCCAGGATCAAATCCCACATTGGGCTCCCTGCATGGAGCCTGCTTCTCCCTCTGCCTGTGTCTCTGCCTCTCTCTCTGTGTGTCTCTCATGAATAAATAAATAAAATCTTTTAAAAAAAATAAACAGTAGAAATGCATCAATTGACATCCCAACTGGGAGAGGGGAAACAAATACAGTAAGAAAACAACAGCACATTTCAATAAAAAGATTCATTTAAAAGTAAGGAAGAGATAAAATAAAAATGTGGAAATTTAGATATTTTAGAAATATTATTAAAAAGGAAAATAGCTAAATAGCTGGGTGACTCAGTTGGTTAAGTGTCTGTCTTTGGCTCAGGTCATGATCCTGTAGTCCTGGGGTTGGGCTCCCTGCTCAGTAGGGAACCTGCTTCTCGCTCTCACTCTGCTACTTCCCTTGCTTGTGCAAATAAATGAAATTATCTTCCCTCTCACTGTGTCAAATAAATGAAATCTTAAAAAAGAAACAAAGAAAATAGCTAACATAGTTAAGAGGAAAGAGTTTAGTCACACGGGAAAAAAAAACAGGAATCTAATATCTACGTCTCAGATATCTTTTGGAGCACTAGAATGAAGGGCACCTCGATGTTCAAGATGTGGTTCTTAAAAAGTTTAGCTATTTTTATACAAAAAGGTTTCATTATTTACATGCCCCTCGTTGCTATCTACCTCTATGCTCAGCAGTTTGAAGCATGGTTTATTTCCGTGTGTAATCATAAACACCTTAAACGTGTACAACTTCTCTATGTGTCAGCGAACGCAGCCAAGTTCCAAGACGGCACCAGTCTTTACAGGTATGTGGCCATCGTCAAAAAGGCCTGTTTCACCAGCTTTCTTTTGAAAGAACCCAAGTCCCTGCAAAATGGAAGAGAAAAATGTCGTGGTATTTATATGAAATTTATGCAAATAGGTGTCACTATGTTTTCAGCTTTGGGTTCTTCCCAGGCTCAATTAAGGTACATATAGTTAACTAAACCAACTCAATTTGTAAAGAGGCTTAGCATTAGAATGTTCCCTATTTGTGATCACCTGTTGTACTTTAAAATTGTTCTTGCTAATTTTTCATTTCTGATGACCTAATGGAGAGCATTCACCAAACACCCACGGTATCAAATCTTAGATGTTTAAAGGCAGACTCCAAAGGGAACAAAATGGAACAAATTCTATGCTAATTGTTGGGTAGACGGGAACCTGACTGGAGGATGCAAGAACACTTTGGCTTTATACGAGAATGCCAAACAGTTTCTCTTAAGGGTTGTCCTCCCCACACTACCTACCCCCCCCCCCAAAAAAAAAGTGGATTGCTATTCTGAGACTTCAGGGTGCTAGGGGGCATGTAGAACTGGGCAGTCCATAATAGTCACATTAAGTACATATGTTTATATCCTACCTCCTTCCACAAAGGATTTGAATATGTTTATAATATGCAGTTTTCTCTAAATTAAAAAAAAATCAGGATCATAGAAAATATGTAGAGAGTAGGCTAGAGATCCCTACATTTTGCTCTGCCTTAGAATCTCCTGGAGCGCCTCTATAAATCCTGATGCCCACGTTGGCACCCCACATCAACTAGATCCGTGTATGAGGGAGGGAGACAGAGAACAGTAGTTCTAAAGATCCCCAGGTGTTCCCATGTGCAGTAAAGTTTGGGAACCACCGGCAGAGGCTGCCATTCTCAACATAAACATTAGCATCACCTGGGAAACCACTGGAACTACTGATGCCTGCACTCCTCCCCTGACCCAATGTTATCATAGTCTCGTATGCTGGCAGCTGAGCACTTGGTATTGGGCACTGGATCATTTTAAAGCTCCCCAGATGGTAACAATGTGCATTCAGCATAGAGAACCACTGCCTTGGGGGGAAGCCGATTCGTAATTACAACGGGTACTGATTTCAATTTTTTATAGGTTCTCTTATGGCTCACAGTCTTAAAATTGGTCCTGAGTTTCCTGGTGGCCAAAGTAAATAGAAAAACAATCATTTGAAATAGTTCTCATCGTATGTAAAAGCTTACCAGTTCCTTGGAAGAAAGCAAGCTTTTCCTCATAGGTCTGAAATGTCTCGAGTCTTCTTAACAGGGGCCATTGAATAATCCACGTATGGATCACGGTTTTATAAGCACCCCTACAATAAATGACATATGGTCAGTCGCACATCGTAGTTTCTAATTGCCATCCCTGAGGGAAAGCCAAGGATATGACCCAGGAGTGCCAGCAGTGTAGGCTGTTGGGGTAGGGGCGGGGGAGCAGGAATGATGAAGAGAGGATGAGGGAAGTACGAGACACCTCTATGGTTTCCAGAAGTTATGTCTTCCCCCAGAGATAAAGCCTGGAACCTGTGTACCTCCAGGGTGCAGGAAAGGTGTCCTATATCATTAGAAATTACAATTCTCTATTTGAAAACTCTAAAATCTATTACGCCCCCTCCACCTCCCAGGGTACAACGCTTGGCAAAGTTTTGGGGTAGTGAGGGTAAAGAAGCAGCGAAGCCTATGGGAGTCACAGGCACCATGTTAAAATTTGGGGGGCGGGGAATGTATGTATGTGCACAGGTGTGCATGTTAGAGAACCTTTTGTTTATTAAAAGAAAAACAATCTAGGTCTGAAAAAGTGAAAAAACTTTGGCCCGAAAAGAACAGACAGGTCATTTCTGTTCCTTCATAAAGGTAATTTCCTTTTTTTTCCCCCTCCGTTGGGCTTTTCTGGCATCTAAGTTCAGTTGATTTAATAGGACACGATTTGCAGACAAGAAGGCTTCGCAGGACAGTGCTGGCTCCACGGGGTTAAGTCTTGCAAAGAAACCCACCATACAGACGCAGGGCACAGGGTTTTAAGCCACAGCAGTGTCACCGGGAGGCCTAGGCGGGGGAGGGGGGGGAGGTGAGGTGGGGGATGCCCATTTTCTTTCGAAAACGATCTAGCAGGGCCCACGAGCAGATATTTTAGCAAAGTAGCTGGAAACAGGCATAAGGACGCTCATGGATCACGTGAGTTCCTTTCTTCCTCGAAACATTCTAAAAGCGCCCTGTTCATTCCGAAGTAGACATTCTGAGGCTTCTTTTCAAAGGAAAAATCGCATATTGTGCTTATAAAAAAAAAAAAAGGAAAAAAATTCGCAACTGCCTTTACCAGCTAAATTTAAGGAAAGGCTTCCTGGAAAAAGTGGAGGGCTGCATTTCTTTCGCTTGTTTAAAAGTCGTCGGCGGCGTCCCTATGGGTCTTGGGGATGACCAGGAGGGCATGTGCTCCGGGAGGCACAGCGGCCGGGACGCGGGAGGAGCCCGCCCGGGGTCTGCACGTGCGGGGGGCGGGGGCGGGGGCGCCCCGAGCTGCACGGTCTCCCGCGGGGGCGCGCGGGCGAGCGGAGCCGGCTTTGCTCAGGGGGGCGGGTGCGCCCCGGGGCGGCGCGGCCTCGGCCTCGGCCTCGGCCTCGGCCTGCGCCCCCGAGCCTGACCCGGGCAGTGGCGAGCGGCGGCCACACCGGGGCAGCCTCTCCCCCGCGGGCGGCCGGCCGAGGGGTCCGGAAGCATATGCCCGCCTCCCCCCGGGACCATCGCGGCGCGCTCGGGGCTCGGGGCGCAGGGAGCGCGAAGGGGGTGGCCCGGGCGCCCCCGCCCCCAGCCCCCCACGCCCAGGCCGCCCCGGCCCCACTGCGCGCGCCAGGAGGGCCGGCTCGGGGCGCACCCCCCGCCCCCGCCCCCGCCCCCGCCAGCCCTCGAGCGCCGCCCCCGAGCCCCGCGGGTGGGGGGGGCTGGGCCCCGAGCCCCGCCGCGCGGCCTCTGATTGGCTTGGGGGGCGCGTGCGCCCGCCCCGGCGAGCGGGGAGGGTCCCCCTGGGCGCCGGGCGGGGGCGGGGGCGGGGCGGGGAGAGCGGGGCGAGCGGGGCCGCGGGGAGCCGGGCTCGCGCGCGCGGAGAGCGGGCTCGGGGAGCGGCGGGGAGGGCGGCCGGCGGGCTGGGCGCGCTCCCGGGGCCGCCAGCCTGCACCGCCCCGCGGCCTTCCGGGAGGAAGCGGCGCCCGCGGCGGCCGGGGCGGGCGCTCGGGGCGGGCGCTCGGGCTCCCTCACCTGCCGGCGCCCGGGTCCCCCCCGCACCCCGCCCGCGGGACGCGCCAGGCCGGGCGCCGAGCAGCGCAGGAGCGCAGGAGCGCAGGAGCCGCCGGCCCAGCCGCCTTGGAGCGCCCCGCAGCCCGCGGGGGGCGCCGGCTCCATGGCGACCGGGCTCGGGGAGCCGATCTACGGACTTTCGGAGGACGAGGTGAGCGGCGGCGGCCGCCCGGGGCTCCCGGGTCCCGCCGGGCGCCGGGTCTGCGAGGGGGCTGCGCGCCGCCCTGGGCCGCGGGGACGGAGACGGAGACGGAGACGGAGACGCCGTGCGCCCCTCGGCCGCGCTCCCGGGCTCCCGGCTCCCGGCAACTTCCCGCCGCTCGGCCCTGCGGCCCGGGAGCCCGCGGCGTGTCACGGGCGGGTGTCGGCCGGGGTCCGGGTGCCCCCCGGGAACTCCCGGGGGCCGAGCGGCGGGTGCCCCGGGGGTGCGTGCGCGCAGGGGCAGGGGCCCGAGGCCGGCGCGCCCAGGGGTCCCGGGGCGGGGGGCGCGGCCAGTGGCGGCAGGTGCCGCCGGAAACTTGGAGGGAGCCCGCAGCCCTGCCATTTCTTTTTTTCTTTTCTTTTCTTTTCTTCCTTTTTTTCCTCCCCCCTCCCCCCCCGCCCCCCGCCCCGGCTTCCGAGCCCGGCACCCCGGGGTAGGTGGAGAGACAAAAGCTCAATCGCTCCCCCTTATTAATAAAGCAGATGCGGGAAGCCACGCCCCCGAGGCCGTGGCTGCGCGGGGTGAGCTTTGTTCGCGGCCTCCGAGGAGTCCCCGCGGCCCCCGCCCGCCCGCCCGCCTGCCCGCCCGCCCGGAGGGGACCCCGCGCCCGCGCCCGCGCCGGCCCCGGAGGGCGGGGACAGGTAGGGGGGCCCGTCGGCGGGGCGCGGGCGCGGGGCTCCCGGGGGCGCTTTAAGGCCCTCGGTGCATTACTCAGCGGGGAGGTATTTCCTCTCCTGGTCGTGCGTTTCGTGAAAAGTTGATGCCTGGAGATTCGAGGGTTTCGGGCTTTCTCTTTCTTCCCCCTCCTTTCTTTTCCGAGGTCCCCTCTTTCTCGGTTTGCTGGGGAGGCTATTACCCGGACCTGCCCCCGAGATGGCTTCTCTCTCTGCAGCTTTCCTGCCCGGGGCTGGGGGTGTGTGCGTGGTGCGTGTGTGTGGGCTTTGCAAGTGTGTGATGGAATCGTGTGTCTGTGCTTTGTGTGTGTGTCTGCTTTGTGACTGTAATGGAATCGTGTGTGTGTGCACTTTGCAAGTGTGTAATGGAATAGTTACCTGGGGGTCGGGAGAGTGTTTGGGGGTAGGACTTTTTTTTTTTTTTCTTTCTTTCTTTCTTTCTCTCTTGCCAGAGTTACCTAAAGCTTGCCTCGGTATGTATTTTATCAAAGAATGATCACAATGCAAATAATGTGTGATTTACGTTTTCGATTATTTTGCCCTGCTGTACTCAGGGTGAGGCAATTTCCCCCCTTTTTTTTGGGGGGGGGCAGTTACCTGGGGATGGGTGGTGAAAAGGATCGTTGTTGCTTTCACCCAGGGTTTTCTCCCCCTCCCCGGCTCCTCTACCCTTTTGAAGAGCTTTCCCTTTCATTCGGTACTTCTCCATTTAATTAGCAGCCCTAGATGGCAGGCAGTGAGCTTTCAGAAAGGTGCTGAGATACTGACATTCCTAAACAAAGGGCTTTTTGAGGTATGGTGGGGGGAAGACAGCTGCACTTTAGCTTTGGTCTCTCGTAAATTTTAAATTACGTGATTCTTAGTAACGCACCAAAGAAAAATATATTAAGAGTGTTTGGAGAAATTCAACTTGATGAATGGATTCTCTGCGTGCCCCTGTTGTGTGTTCTTTGTTTACATTTATATCTAGTGTCACCATCTACCTAGGGCACATCCTGCCTCTTTAGTTAACTCAGATCTCCTTAACTGGTGTCTAGTGTGAAAGTGAAGGGTGGAGTATAAACAGAATTGGTATGTGTGTGTATATACGTGTGTATGTGTATGACTGGGTTTACTCCTGCACGTCGCTGGACCGGTGTTTGGGGCTGGTGTCGGGAACAGCCCAAGGTGCTAAAGACATTTTCTTGATTGAGCGATGGCTATGTTGCTGGGACTATTAAGTTCCTCCCGCACATTAGATTACAAAAGACAAGTGGCATCTGTTGTCTTTTTTCAGCTTCTCCTACCAGTGGGGGAAAAAAAAATTAGGACTGTTTTGATGACTTCACATTTCTATGGTGTTTCCTTTTTTATGGGAGGTATCACACCGTCAGGTTAGCCTTTGGAAAATCAGGGAATGCCTTCGTAGAATATTAACAAATTGTTGAATTTGCACAGCTTGTTTTGTCTCCCTGAATTAGTCTGTGTAAGAAAACAAATGAAAGATCTTAACAGGCTCTTAAAGCAGACTGGCTCATGAAACCAATGGCAGGGTTGTTTTTCCAAGGCGTGTTAAGTATGAGTGCACTTCAGTTCACACACTTGGTGTGCTGCCGAACATCACACGTGAAGATACTTTGATTGCTACATAAGAGCTATCTTACACATCTCTTAGCAAACTAGGTGTCCGTATACCTAGCACATTTCTTAAAAGTGAGTTTGTATTTTCGTTGGAAGTTGATGGAAAGCATTGCGTGTTTGGAGCGCACTTGGCTTTCTGTCCCATCTCAGAAAGATTTTTTAGCTCTAAGTACTACTGGTGATGAAGCATTGCAGGGGGATGCCAAGACAGGATCTTGCTCCCAGGTCTCTCCAGCTTGTAGAAAGAGAGGAATTAAATATGGGCTTTGCTTGTGTGAGTGCATGTACTGTTTATTTTTTGTGTGTCTTGTTGAGGTTCCTCAGTGAGCTCAAGCTCCTATTTACTGATTTAAATCAGGTCACCTTAGGGAAACCAAATTTGAAATTGCCATCAGATGAAGGGCTTTGGTGTTTGAGAGATTAGCAAATTAGCAAAACTTGTGACTCTGGGCCCAGCATCAGATTTGGTTTGGAATTAGAACAGTTGGACTAGTTGCTGCATCTGGCTTGGTTCCTGGGCAGTTTTTTTTTTTTTTTTTGTGCTTTTTGTTTTTATTTATTTTATTTTTTTTGGCAATCTGTAGCACATTTTGGCAGTTTACTCCGGAGTGTTACTGTTAACCTTGTGAATTCTTTTTGTTGGAACATCTTAGAAAGGTATCGTTTATTGAAAAGATTTCTGGGTGGAATACTAAAGTCTGAATGACAGCTTATTAGATGCGGCAGTTTTTTGGTGGTTACATGAGACAGATGGCCGGGCTGATGTGGGATAGCACTTTGACAGCCTTCCTCTGCATTCTATACAAACAAGAATAGTTGGCTAATGTTTCATATGCTTTCTCTGCATCTAGCACTGTGTTAGCAAACTTTATGTACTTGCTGTCTCGGGTAATCCTCACGAACCTCCTAAGAGGTGTGCCAGGATTTACAGATGAGGAATGGAGGCTCAGAGAGGTTAGGTGACCCGTAGAAGGACACACAGTAAGTGCGTATGGAGTCAGGATTTGAACTCCATTCTGTTGATTGCACAGGCCTGGTTTGTAGCATTCTTCCTGTCTTCCAGGTATCATGAGATGTCTTCATAGCTGGGTTGTTGAAGTTAATTTGCAGTGGAGATAAACATCAGGAGTTGTAAACTGAAGACTTGCAGTTCTGAGTTGACCAGGAGGCTGGCTTAGTATGGTCTTTGCTGTGCTTTAAAGCTCGGGAAGTTTTACAGAAAATGGCAAAAATCTGACCTCACTGGGGCTCCATTCTCACCTGGCAACAATTGTGTCCACGTTGTGGTCCCGGGGAGGTGGTAGCTGTGCTACAGTTCCTGCCACCCCCACTACTGCTTATCGTTTTAGGGTTCTTTGAACTCCAGAACGAACATTTAAGGTTAACCTTTGGCCTAGGTATATTATCTTGAAGATGCTGTCAACCTTAAGATGCACCATTATCTTCTGTACCTCTAAGAGAGAAAAAAGTTGCTGTTGCACTATGATACACCGCTCATTTTATTATTTTTTTTTTACACCGTTCATTTTATGGAGCATCCTTATTTCAGGCTGTTGCTGAATTCCAGACTCTCGTTAAGGGCCAGCTCTCGGCCATCAGTGTCAGTACCCCAGTCCTTCACTTTGAAGTCAGTTGCCAGTCAGATCGCTGCCTTTCTGTTTCTGAGAAAAGGGGTAGCATAAGGGAAGTGCCCTTCACTGGGCATTGGCGGAGAAGAAACAGGGAGCCTATGAGATAGGCCACCCGAATAGCCATCTGTAAGTAATTGAGAGTAGCTGTTAATTTTTAAAAAATGGTCCATGTCAAGAGATTCCTTGAAATCCTGCGTGCCATCTTTGCAGCTGTGCAAAACAATCACAAGATTACGTTTGGAAATTAGTTTAGATATTGTTTGGATCTATAGGTGGTGCTGAACAGTTTTGTAGAGGCAGGTAAGACTTGCCCAGTTGTTCCAACTCCAAATGCCTGAGTCCAGCCTTGCAGAGCTGGCTGATGTGCTTTATGCCTAGGTTGATGTGCTTTACTCCAGTTACAGTCTGCATCGTGATTGCTAACGTTTAAGAAAAACCCTAAAAGGGACTAGGTTTTGTTGTGACACTTAAAAGCAATTTTATAAATTGGTGAATATAATGTATTGTCTTAAATTCTACTCTTATTGAATTTTTGTTTTCTTCAAGGGTCCTATGGAATTTATAGAAACTGACGTCTTAATTTATGTTCAGTTTTATTAAGTGCTAAATTTTCTCATTACTGAAAAGCAGTTTCCTTAAAGAGTAAAAATGATTTTGTTCAAAGGGGTGAGGACCGTGGCAAAACGGGAATCCCCAGACGATCTTGGTTTCTTTACTGTAGCAGAACACAAGGGAACTGGTTGGGCATCTCAGTGCAGGGAGGACCTACATCTCCAGGAAACTTCTTGCAAAGTTGTTTCATGATACTGGGAGCATCAACGTGCTTGACATGCATTCAGGAGGAACCTCCAGGAAGACATCTGTGCTGTTAGAGAATGACGTCACACATCACTGCAGCAGTGCTTTTGGGTTCGTGTTGCTTCTGCACTCGCTGCGAGGGAAGAAACTTGAGGCTTATTGCCGGTTTACTCGCCTTTCTGTGTTGTGCAGTTACTCAACATAGGAGCGTGGCCATATGTGACTG